GGCGGGATGTAAAAAAAAAAAAAAGGCTGCTGTGACATTGCATGCATTCCAGACCTAAGCTGCAATACAGCTTAATTAACAAACAGCGACAATCACAGCCGGAGCGCCGCGTTCCCTGCAAAGCCCTCCAAACCAAGGCAGATGCATTCTCCTTGATTGCCGTGCTCAGAAAGCTTGGATTCAAAACCGAGAGTGAAAACTCAGTTAAAAACAACTGCAGGGGCAGCAGCTGTTTAAAGACCAGCTTTGTTCCTAGCTGCTGATGGGTAACGCTTCATGAGCTGTGGCGACAGAAGCAAGATCAGCCACACCGGGAGGGTGTAAAACAGGGTGTTTTCGGAGCGGCAGAGATGCAGCTGCGACAGCCAGAGCATGTAACAGGGGAGGGTGGCCCCTAAATCCTTCCTCCCCCAGCTCAGGGCTCAGCCGGGGCAGGTTCAGCCACGCGAGCTGAGGGTGGTCGCAGCTTTAATACTCTCAGCACACAAAAATCGCGTTGCGGTGGCTGAATCCGCGGCCATCCGTGGAGAAATGTATGTGCAGTCTATATCCTGCAGGTCTACATCCTGCACGGTCCCCAGCAAACGACTGGCAAACAGAATCCAGCCTAATCTGCCGGGCTGTGCCGAGTGAAATACCTTCTCTGTTTTCCTCTAGGTTTCTGGAGGTGGAGCGGCCCAGGTTCAGCAAGGCTTCCCGCATGCTGGCCTTTGTGTACCCGTACCTCTTCGACAGCATCCCTCTCTTCTACAGGGTACGCCTCCCACGGCCCATATTCACAGCACCGAGATTTGTGTGCTGCAGGGTTGGAAATATCAGCTGCTTCATCTTAGTCTGAAAATATTTGGGAAAATATGCCAGCCTTTTTTTTTTTTTTTTTAAGGAAAACAAACTCTGGCAGGAAAAGAGATTTGGGTATTTTTTCCTGCACCTATTGACAGGCAGATTCCTTCCGCTTCAAAGCGCCGCGCTCAAATCTGCCCGTGCTGGAAAGTTACTGCCTTTGAACGCTGCCAGTTTTTTAGTTCCTAAACTGGAGCGGGGTGGGAATTCTGCTGCAGGGAGGTCTAGGGACAGGAGGTGCGGGGCTGGGATTTGCATGAAATGGAGGCGACAGCTCTTGTATTGAGCACTGGGTCCTGCAGCGCCTGCCCTGGTGTTGGGTGACGGGCAGCCAGAGGCGACTGGGGGCTTGGGGCACGGCGCTGCCTCCTTCAGAAAGGTGTCGTTCC